CCCTCGGTAGCCATCCCATAACTTTATGACGCGGAGATCAGATAGGCATTGCGCGCAGACTTGGTATAAAACTGCGCGGATGCAGGGTCCTCTCATATCGACGCGCAATGCAAGCGTGCGCAAGCAGTCGCAGTGAAGGCGTACTATGTAGTGCCCATAATCAAGCGGTCCCTCGTGGATCCGAGTACCGCTTATGACACTCGAAGTATCGTGATGGTCTAATCCCGCACGATATTGCACGGCTGAAGGAATAGCCGTGCGGCCGCCGCGAGGTCTCCGGCCTTTGGCCTGAGAGTCTTGGCAAGCAGGGCAAGCAAGCTCTGCACGGGGGAAAATTCTTTCCATGCAGAGCCTAGGGCTTGGGATGTCCTGGACAAGGACCTTGAATCCCGACCCAGGACCAACGTCCGGCTAAGAAATTATCAAAAAGTATACAATCAACGGAGGGGTTTTCCTGCCCTTTTCTCAACCTTAAGCCCTATTTAACCCTTAATACGTTGGCCCTTTGGGCCGTGCGAACTTCCAACACAGGTACACATACTTTTTTATACATATGTAAGGGGGAATAGGTATGTGACGATCACTTCTCACAATCACAGTGGGACTCCTCACAACCATATGTATAGGTGTGATCGCAGGCAGTCAAATCCAAAATCCGAACCACAGAACATACCTGCAATCATATCAAAGAGTCAAACAACGTCCACGCACTACACGGAGTCAACCCCAACCACTTTCTATACTCACACCCCTCGCTTTAGCCATGTAAGCCCCAACCTCCAGCCAACCAACCATAATTAAATACTCAGTACCTTCGTTAAATGGCCATTCAATAAAAGCCCGGGTGAAACCTTAATAAAATAATAAAATTACCAGGGCTAAAACCTTTTAGGTTGAGTATTGAGGGTGAGTGGGAATTGAGTCGTAAGCCCACGAATCGACAACCGACCTGTTATCAGTGATAACAAAAGGTGATCCTCGTGGGATCAAAGCTGAATCTAGTCCAAAATCCTGAATCGAATTGTTCAAAAAAGGACCTGTAACACGAAACAGGTCAATGTCCAGGCTAAACTTATAAGCGCACAAGGAATAATCTCCATACCCTGTTCTGACAAAAATCCTCCTAATAACCAGGCCTAAGTCTAATTTCGCACACGTGCCCAAGAAAAAAAACAGACCTTTGGCATCATCTTCCCTACCCAGGTGGATCGCCAAAATCGCCACCTGTCGAAATATAATCTAACTCCTCTAAATTAGGAAAATTTCGGCAGCGCTTCCCGTAGGAAAAGCGCCTTCTCAGAATTTATATCAGTCCAAATATGAAAACATAAATAGTCCTTGACTTCCCAAAGTCAGATTTTGTCTAACTCCCCGAACTAGTAAAAATTTGGACAGCACTCCCTTTAGAAAATGAGACTCCCCAAATTTATATTAGGTCAGATATGAACTCGAACATAAAATATGAGTTCAACTAAGACAAAATTTAACTAACTTCTTAGATTTGTAGAAATTTCGGCAGCGCTTCGCGTAGAGAAAGTGTTATTCCAAGATTTATACAAAGCTAAGCTCAGAATCTAAAATGACTTTGACTTTTGAGGGTTTAATTTTGTCTAACTCCCTGAATTAGCAAAAAAATGGGCAGCATTCCTTTTAGAAAAGGAGTTGTTCCAGATTTTTACTAAGCCAGAAAGTAAGAAAAAGTTGGATCCTGGAAAAGACAAAGTTTGACTAACTCCTTGGTTTTGTAGAAATTTCGGCAACGCTTCCCGTAGAGAAAGTGGCTTAACAAGATTTATACAAGACCAAGTATAAATAAAAGATCCCAGAAAATGCAGAAATTGATCCAAGTAAAAAAAAACTTAGCTCGGGAAATGCAGGAATTGAAACTAACTCCTAGGACTCTAGCACGTGGCGAGCAACTAAAACAACTAACTATCAAACTGAAACTCAGACTAAGTAGTGGCATCACTCAGTCACATGCAGGCCAAACCACAACGGTAAGTATTCTCACCATCCCCAAGTCAACTTTAGTTCATAGTCTTTCAATGATTTATCCCCTTATACCCAGCTTACATAGGGCATAAAGCTAGACCACCCAAACTTATGGAACATGTCTAGCCCAGCCATGAAGTATACACAAACAAAGGGCACAAAAACTTTTCTCTTCTTTGGGCATATGGCTAGGCCACCCTAGCCGTCCTGAATTGTTTAAGTATCCAAATTTTATATAATTGTATGCACTTAAACCACCAGTACCTCTCCCTGCTTGAGGGAATCGACGCGTCCGTTAACGCGCCGCGTCGCGCGGGGTACCCACCGGCGTGCGACCGGTAGTCCCCAAAAAACGGGGCAAAAAAAAAAACAAAAAAAAAAACGACGACGAAAATGAAAAGTAACATCCTACAACAAATGCGCGGCGGGCGGGGAAGGGGGGGAAGAACGAGAGAGAGAGAGAGAGAGAGAGAGAGAGAGAGAGAGAGAGAGAGAGAGAGAGAGAGAG